TAGCTTCTGTGACAGAAAATATCTTTGACACCTTTTCTGCTTTTCTTTTGTCTCATTGAAGTGGACCTACTAAGGCTTGTTTGTAAATAAATAAATAAATATTATAATTTTATTTTATATTGTTTGCTTTTTGGTGGGCCACTTTCTAGATGTTGCAACAGGTCACGGGTTTGGGTGACGTGGGTTCTATTCCTGTGTCTGCAACTCACTTTGTTAATGTGACTTTGGGCAAGTTACTTAACCTCCTTAATACCTGGCACAGGTTGTGTGTGTAAAGCAATTCAGGATCACAAGAAAAGGTGTTGTAGACGACTGGAATGTGTTTTTCGTGTGCTGTAAGACAGGACTAGAAGAAAATAAATCTGGAGTGTTTTAGCAAATGGGTCCTTCTTCCGACCTTTGGTAAATAAATGCTAAGATTCTGCAACCTCTCAGCTGTCTTTTTCTTACAGCTGATATTGTCATTTTAAAGAGGGAGAAAAATCAGGGTCTGTAGAATTTAACCCATATGTTTTTATTACCAATTCTTGAGGAAAGAAGCCATGCCTAGTGTTTATTTAACTTGTATGTGGTCAGTGTTTGTATTTATCTATAGATCATTAGTGTACTGAGACCATATTATGTTGTTGTTCTTAAAATTAGCCATATGCTAGTCAGTATTGCTAGAAATGGTGTAAGTTTTTGAAGATAAAGGTTTTAAATTTTTTTGAGCAAAATTCCTCCTCCCCTATTGTTTGTTTAGAATCCTGGGGATTTTAGTTATGTATAGCGCAGAAATATTGAGCTAGCAGAACTGATGGATGTTCATCTAGGTTTCTGAGCTGTGTAAAGAGCAGCAAGATCAACATTTGAGTAATAGGATTGGGTTTTATTAACCTTCTGTTGGCTGTTAGCTGAGTGATTGGTGCCACCTGACCTAGCTTTGTGTAGAAACTCTCAATGGAGATTCATGAGCATGTCAGTGTTAAGTATATAGTATTCTTGCATCAGGGCTCTTTAAATTTTTTTTTAAGTGACCCTTTACTTAATGTAGTTCAGAGAATTTGTGGCTGACCATGTTGTGGTCATGCTGACACTATGGTTAGAACTGTACTAGCAATAACTGTTTGAGCATGGCTATTGCTAGCATAGTATTGGCCATTGGATACTGATGAGTTGGGCTCTAGGCTATAAGATAAATCAAAGGTTCACTTTAGATAACAAACCTAGGGATAGCACCATTTTTTTCCTCTGTTTATAATGGGGAAGTCACAAGGAATGGCAAGTGATAGTGCATGTGTTAGGATGCATTTTCTTGTGTGGCTTTTCCATCTAAAGAGAAATTTTTAAAAATATAGAAAAGTAAAGGAAATTTGGCTACTACCATCAAACTGGCAGGATGTTTGACACCCTGCTTTAGGTCCACAAGTGCTAGTAAATACCTTTTCTCTCCATTTCCTCTCTTCCCATTTCCTAGACGCTCATACACGCTACAGGGTCTTAGTTTTAGGCTAAGAAGAGATGTTGGGGTAGGGAGAAACTGCTGATGGAGAAGAGAGGAATAACCTTATTCATGGTTTGTGTGGCACTTACTCTAGCGCTCAGTAATTGTAGAATCACTTTCTTACCAAGAATTCATTTGGAACATACTCTTATTGAACACACACATTTGAAGCACTTACCCTTTTATTTTTTGCTTTAAACTTTTTATTAGAGCAAAGTTACAATAGAATGTTGACATACTGCATTTTATATTACTTATTACTTATTCAGGCTCAGGTTAATATTCAAAGAACCTGGCTGAACATTTTGGTTTGCTGACTGAGGAGGAGTCCTACTGTGAGTGCCTTAAAAAGGGACCAAACTTTCTAAATATCTGTCCCCTTGTTGGTGCTTCTCGGGCGTATGTACCTTTGTCCCAGACAACAACAAAAACAATGATTACTTTTGTGTATATGTGTGTGTCTGTGTAGTGATTTAGTGTTGTCTTTACTTTTAGGGTGAGTTTAGAAAGGCACAGTCTTCAGCTGCCTGATGCTATCATCTGGAGTGGAGTCCCAAGAGAGAAGCCACCCACATCCCCTTGATTCCTCCATGTCTGCTGTGGTACAGGAATTGTACACTGGACTGCCAGTCAGCATCTCTACTGAGCTTACTGCTGGGTCTGATCCTAATGTTAGACTAGATACAAAACCTGAAGCATCAACACTTGTGCTAGCACATAGTAGCAGTTTGTTGTCTGAGTCCCACAGGATTAGTGGGGTGGAAAATTGCTCCCAGGAAACTGATAACCTGGATCATGGGGACAAGCTTACATCTGATGGGCTGGCGGGATCCCTTTCTGAAGAGTCTATGGGGGCTGGAAACCTTGCTGAGAACCAAGAGGCCAAAAGTGGAAGCTTGGGGAAGCAGGACACTTGTGCTAATGGGAGCCAGAAGGAAGCGAGACGATCTGCGAAAGAAACACAAGATGCTGAGGAAGAGCTTGTTGGATGTTGTGCTTTAGCCTCTGAAGAAAAGTGGTGGTTGAGACAGGTAAGAAAGAAATTGATTACAGTGAATGTTTGAACATAGCAGAGAGGGATTTGTTAGGGACTCAATGTCAGTGTGCTTTTTGTTCTCTTTCTTTAAGTCTTGCCATCATAGCATCCAAAAATATTTAATAAATTTCAATTTATATTCTATTGTTATAAGTGTGATTAATCGCGATTAATTTTTTTAATCATGGTTAATTTTTTTGAGTTAATTGCATGGGTTAACTGCGATTAATTGACAGCCCTAAAAAAAACCCTTCACAAATGCCAAATGTCCCTTTTCCCAACTGTTGAGGAGGATACATTGTAGTCTAAAATGTCATAATACAGGTAACAAAATTAGCCATTATGTGGTCATGCTATTGGTACCAGATTAAAATAACTAGCAGTGCTAGATCTTATGCTGAAATCATATATGACATCACTTATGTCTTAAGTACAGTCTCTGCAGTCTGCTGTATCTTTCAACTCAACTCTTCAATAATTGGACAGTGGATCAGTGTCTCTATTTCCTTTTTCAAATAATAAGGCCTTTCAGCTCATATGTTGTTTTTTTCCTCCAGCAGACATTGACGTTCCAATTATTATTCCAAGGCAAAAAAGTTTGAGCTTAGAGATAAAATTGAAATTAACACTTCACTGGGGAAAACCCCCACAAACATTGAAGTATTATTTAAAAAAAAATTGTTTAACTTGAAAATTCCATGTTACAGGTTTTACTATTTGGCACAAGGACTTCCAAACACTTGAAAGCATGTAAATACAGTAAATGAGAAAGTTTGATTAAAGTAAGGAACTGAAAATTGAGCTTATACCAGGAAGTGAACTTCAAACTTAAATTTCTGAGAAATAATTGTCTCTCCATAATGTGGTCATATGATGACATTTAGGTTTCTTTGATATCTTTATAATACATATTAAGGTAGTTTAAATGTTACAGATGTTCACGTAACTTTACAATTGCATCTGCTGTTTTCTTTCTCCCTGAGCAGAATCTCTCCCCCAAATCCCCTATCATTTTAAAAGTTTGTGTGAGAGAGGAGATTTAAGTCAAAGCTTGGTACTAATTTAATTGTATAAAACCACACTTCATACTTTTTTTTTTTTTTTACTTGGCTTTTTTGCTGGGCGTAGTGAACAAAAAACTATTTTTCCTAGTAGCAGCAGTAATGGGTACACAAACTACAAGTTTGTACTAGAGAATTATTTAAATTTAGCATGTTTTCAATGGGAGACTGAAGTTGGTTTTGAATTTTTATTTTTAAACAAGGATGGTTCTCATCAGCTTTTTTTGGAACTGTATTCATAGTGAAATCTTCCTAATCATATGACTAATCCCATTTTCTATTTTTCAGAGTTCTTATTTTTCTTTTCAGTAGAGCCACTGTAGACTGACTTTACATTAGTTTGCATCATTGATTCATCTTCCAACTATTTCTATGGCTTTGAGTTTGATTAATTGAAAATTAGTGTGGAGGGCAAGACAAGATAACTATATACATTTGGTCTAGATATTTATAAAACCTGAAACGTACATTGTGAGGTGGAGTGGATTTTGGAGTTTTATCACTGGGGGAAAAAAGTCTAAATGTCTTAATTGGTTTGGCTCCTCTATGCTCTGAAAATATTGGACAGTACAGCTGTGAATTGACTGCTCCTTCTGTTTGAAAATTTATTCTCTGGACAAGTGACATGGGCTTCAACATGTCAAGTAGCTGCTAAAGCTGGAGTGCACGCAAGCCAGAGCTTACACCAAGGGACAAAATAGAAAACGCTTCTTCCATCAAGAGTCTTCACTCTGCATCCATCAGCTTCACCCATCACTGCAAATTAAATATAATACTTTGCTAATGTGGATACATTTATAATTCATACACACAAAGGCAATTCTCTCTTCATTTCTCAGCAAGGATTTAAATAGCAAAATGCTGTAGTTAAGGCTCCTATTGATTAAGACTTCATTATTTTACAAAATATACTAGAGAATGTTTAGTACGTGAATGTTTAGTACATGAATAGGTCATTTTATAGATAAATATATTAAAATATTTTGTTAAACATTCCTTTTTATCCACTTGTGAGTTCTGGAGCATGTCTGCATTTAAAATTTTGAGGGTGAGGGTTTATTGCAGGGGAGTTAATAAATATGATTGTCACACTGCTGTTGCCTTAAGAAGGAAACTGCGATTTAGCAGTTCAAAACCAGGGTACAATATTACAAGGCCTGGATTCTATTCTTAGCTTTGCAACTTATTTACTGTGACACTTAGGATGAGTCACTTAGTCGTTTTCCTTTCCAGTATTATAAGGAATATTATAAGCAGTATTGAGACAATGTTTGAAAGCACTTTGAGGTCTCCATATGGAAAATGTTGTAGAAATGCATAATAGTTCCTTAATAATTTTTTTGAGGAACACATAGTTGGCCTTTTCTAGTGCCTTTACTAATGAATTTCTAGGGCCTTCACACTCTAGTGCTTTTACTAATGAATTCAGTTTCATGTGCATCTGGGTGAAAACTACTTAACTGAAGTACATTAAAAGAAACTAAACATATTAGCAAATGCCTTCTTAAATGTACAGTGATATGTGACACTTAATATTGCTGTTTGACCACAAATTATTATTGCAGTATTTGGTTGAGAGCAAAAAGCTGTAGTTAAGGTTGAAGAATGGCTTAACACCTTCTGTTTCACGTGCTCATAACTTCCTTAAAATATTCACCTCTTTAATTACATTTTTTTTCATGACTGCTCAGTTGTCAAAGATAAGATATTTTTCTAAAGTTTGTGTGTGTTTGTTTTTTAAGTTTGAATTAAGTCCCCTTATCCATTTTTGAGCCAGGCAAGGATGAAAAAAGATGAGCGCTAATGAAGATACTGTTTAGGTCAGAAAGAATGTGTTTTCCATAGACTTTCACATGGCTCTGCTGTATCCTTGCTCAGCCATTCTAGCTTTCTTATTCTCTCAGAATTTTGTTAATTTTGAGTGAGTGATCAATTATCATACATCCATTTCAAATATCCAACATCCAAGTAGTGGGGCCTTGAGAATGTGTAAAATTTTTAAATGGATGACTGGGGCGTGGGTCCCCAGACTGCTCATTCACTCTCCTGGGTGGAAAATTAGGTCTTTAGGCAATTCTGTACACCCCTTTTCTTGGCTGAGAAACAGGTCCTAGGGATAATCTCCTTGTCCTGAGAGAGAGAGAGATGGGTCCCCACTCTTCTCCCTAGTCCCTCTAACCATTACAGGGGGAAACCAGTGCCTCTATTATATGCAAATTTCTTGAACTGTCCATATTTCAGTGGTGCATTTAAAGGAGTGTGTAGTTCTTAGAGACAGCAGTATAGTAATTACAAGAAATGTACCTATAGAATGTGTGCGCTTGTGTGTTTCCCTTCATCCTTCAACAAAATTTAGGAAACATAATGCAAAAAACTGTTAATGCAATAGTAAGTTTGCATAATTAAAGTAGTCAGAAAATGCTGAAGTTAAGGTAGTACAGTGAAGAGGGTAATATTTTCTTGTGCGTTTTTCATCTGCGCAAGGGATTCCACTGAGAGGGATTATAATAATTGGTTTGGGGTTTGATGAAGGATTACCATTCTGTTTCATATTGGGACGCTTTCCATTGTATTTAAATTCACTTCCTGCTTGAGTTGCTACTTTGGCAAGGCTTTACTGATGCTGAGTTTAAATCTTCTCTGGAATTGTCTCCTCCTGAGGATAGGAAAGACTAATGCAGTATCTTCAACAGTGAGTGGATTTAAAAAAAAATTTTTTTAAGAGGAAAGATGTGATGAGGCAGTGGGTCAGAAAGGAAGGAGAATTTCTCATATTAAGTACTTACAGTTCAATTATTTGCCTGTATTACCACACTTGTAAGTGTGCTTATGGTGTATGCATGACTTTCTCCCTCATTCCCCAAAAAAGCCTAGCATATTATGTGGTATGCTAATGCTTACTGCGTCCAGAGTTAGGACTGGCTTAACAGGTACAGTCCCTGGAGTCTAGAAATAGACTCTGAAAACTATAATTACCAGTTAGTCTCAGGTGTTGCTGCTATGGTGGTGACTTGTTCCTTTATTTCAGGAGAAGCCTCAGATAAACCGAAGTGGGGGAGAATTTTCAAGAATCTGCTGCACTGAAATGGCAAGCCCTCTGAAGAGTAAAGGTGTGTATTTCAGTTGTTCAGCTTTTTTCCTTCAGGATCCTCTCTCATTCACAGAAGTGTGTGAATGATTGCAGGGATAGCTCCTCTGTTCTTTTTGGTAGTGGAAGTTACTGCCCTGTTCGTGTAGAACAATAGCAAAGCTTAATCCTGTGCTCTCTCCTGGCCATGTGCTGATGTGATTGAAATGCTCTGATGAAGAGAGTCCATATTTGGTAGTTCTTAGTCTGAAATACTTGTTGACTCCGGTGCAGATGCTCTTGTTAGTAATTATTGTTTGATTTTGAGAAATAAGGTAATACAAAACTACATGAAAATGTTAACGGTAGAGATGTGCAAAAGAAACAATAATTGGCTGACTCAGTCACCATCTAACACTTTAGAATATGCAGTTTCCAAAGTGAGAGGGGTTTCTGCCCTAATTCTTAGTCCTCCTGTTAATGATCCACTTCTGTCCACAAATGCTTTGATCACTTTGCCTGCATCTGGTGGCTATTCTCTCTTTCTCTGCACAGCAAGCAGGCATATTGTGACTCTGTTTAACTCCAGGATTCTGGAACAACCATATTTTGATTTCAGTCCTGTGTTTATTGCAAACCAGGCCTGCTTGGCTGTGGCTAATATCCTGTTCTATCTTGAGTTCTCAGTCACCACAAATTCTGTTGACTTCATACTAAAAGCTAATATTTCAAATAGAAGATTTGGGTCTGTCCCTGCATGTAATTTGGTGGCACCAGATGTATCTGTTTACAGCTGCTGTTCTGTGAATTACTATCATTCAGACTGAGGCCTGGTCTACACTGGGGGAGAGGGAGAATCGATCTAAGGTACGCAACTTCAGCTATGAGAATAGCGTAGCTGAAGTCGACGTATCTTAGATCAACTTAGATTGACTTACTTTGCGTCCTCGCAGCGCATGATCGACAGCCGCCACTCCCCCGTCGACTCCGCTTCCGCCTCTCGCAGCGGTGGAGTTCCAGAGTCGACGGGGAGCACGTTCAGGTATCGATTTATTGCGTCTAGACGAGACGCGATAAATCGATCCCCGATAGATCAATCACTACCCGCTGATCCGGCGGGTAGTGTAGACGTACCCTGAGCATAAAACAAAACCAAGAAAAGACCAGCCTTAAGCAACACAGCAAGCTTGTGCTTGCGTGGAGACCAGTTTTCCAGTCTTGGTCTCTGAAAGTATGGAAGAAGTCTTCAAAAGTTTGAGCAAATACTGTTCAGATGTTTTTGAGCATAAAGAAATTGAAATTCTTTTCCAAAACTTGTGACCTCTTTTGAACAAAACTATTGTTGAAATGACCAGAAGTAAACACACAATGAAATTTGATGTGGAAATAACTCTCGTTAAGAAGTGTCTTTGAGTGTTCTGGTGTCAAGAGTTTTAGTTTGAGAATTCCATGCTGCACAGTATATTTTACCAAGGAGTCTTATTAAATTCATAAAATGCCAGCTAGAAAAACGGCTTCATTTTTATGGCTGTACATGTTTATGGCTAATGTACTAGCACAAGGAAGAGTGCAATGAAGAGATTAAGGAGGGCTGCTGCACATTTTGCATGGCACCAAGACAGGGGCCCCAATCATATAAGCCTCAGAAGGTGCTTGGGACAAGGAATCTAGTGGTGTTAAACCAAATAGCTTCCAGATTATAAACCAAATAGCTTCCAGATTATGGAATTTACTTGTTACCATTTTTTTTAAAAGTCAGCGGGTCTACTAACTCTTGGATTTTTCTACTCTTTTTCAAAAGTAAATTCCATTCAATTAAGAAAACTTTGTTTGTAGCTCAACATTCAAGTCAGGAAATGCTTAGTTAAGGTTGCATGTGTAACCTTTAATTCTATGCCTTGTGTATATACACAGTGATACAATCTGATTACGTACCATTTCTGAATTCTGATATACAATTTTTTTCTTAAACACATGTAGCCTCTTGTAATATTTTGTACTACAACGTGTATGCTAGACAGTCCATGAAAGTCACTTATATGAAAAGTATGGAATAAACCCTCCATACATAGCATATCACATTTAAGAGTAAAGCCTAAAGCAATGTTGACATTTTTTTGGCATGCATGAGCTACATACGTTTCTAGATAAAATAGTTTTACAGCTAACTGCCTCATCCATGTAATTTCACAAAAGAAAACTTTGTAGCTTATTGAAGAGACTACATATAGTACATAGAGATTAAAGCTTCAATTGTACAAACACACATGCTTAACTTTAGCCATGTGCATCGACGTTGGCAATATTGGGGCCTAAATTACAGAGAAGAGAACTTTTCATGTAGAAATTCAGTCAGTAAAGAGTTACTGCACCATTGTAGCAATGAAAATGTGAGCATAAAAGAATGAAAAGCATATTAAAATGAAAACCTAGCACGAGATGCTACATCTGTTTCTAAAGTTACAAAAAAATTGTATTTTTGAGAAATGTGATCATGTAATTAAAGACTGTATTGTAATGCATCTGCAAAAGAAAGCAATGTTAAGGTTAAGTCCTATTTCGACCATACATCCTAACTTTTGAGGCACTTATCTGTGCAGCCTTAATAGTCTCAACATAGCAATTTGCATAGAATTTCAAAATTACATGGTACATTAAAATCATTGTTACAATGTTTCCTTCCTTTTCTTATCCTTCCCTTTGTAGTTGGAGGGGACAACCTTTTGGGGATTTGAACTCCTCTTCATGTCTCATTCCAGGGGGCTGGACTTGATGACTTCTCGAGGTCTCCTCCAGCCCTACTTTTCTATGATTCCAGTAGCTAGCTACCACTGGTGCCAATTACATTAAATCAGTGTTTCTGTTAAAGTGATCATTAGTGAAATACTTAATGTTTACAGTTAAACTTTCTTTTAGTTTAACCACCTGTTCAATATTAATGGGGAATTTGGTCACTGACAACTTAAATTTCTGTCCTCTGTGCAATCAGTTTTCTCTGTCTTCCACACACAAACAAGGATTTAAAATAGGAGACTGTGATGGTAAAGCCATATATGGTAAGGTGGACTCAGGAGTAGCCATAGTATGTGAAACTATTCTAAATTTTTTTTAAATGACTAAATTTCAAGATAGTGGTGTCCCTTCAGTACTTTGCAGAGCTGTTTCAGGTTGCTCTACAAAGAGGACAGCATTGCATTGGCTATTGTTCAGTTCATTTAGAAGGTTATCATCAGCCATAAGGGCTAAGAATGTAATATCTTAAAAGGACAGAAGCAAAATTGAACATGTTCTACCCAAAAGGAGGCAAAAATCCTCTTGTCCTCCCTTCGTGTTGAGGAAAGTGTTGGAAGCTTCTCCTGACTATCAGTTGTTTTTCATTCAGATTAAGGGAATGAGCAGATCCTAGAGAAACTAATAAAATCTCTAATATCTTGATGGAGCAGGCCCAAGCAACGCAGATTCATAAACTGGAAGGCCAGAAAAGAGACCATTGTGATCATGTAGTCTGACCTCCTGTATAACACAGGCCATAGGACTTCCCTGAATTAATGTTTGTTTGAATTAGAACATATCTTCTAGAAATCCATCCCTCTTCCTCCCCATCATCATTCCATGAATGTCTGGAACCTAGCTTATCGAAGGAGATTTTTACAGAAAAGCATCCACACACCCCAACCCACCCCCCCAAAAAAGTGTAGGTTGGAGAATTCCATATCCCCTTCTTGGGAAGAGAGACAATTGTCAGACTGACACCAAGTCTCAGGAGAGCACGCCTTTTTGTCTTAATGTTTTGAATCTCCCTTGAAGTATATTAGCAGGCCTGGAACACTCCTGAGAAGCCTCCTTCTTGTGGAAGAAAATGAGTGAGGAAGCCAAATATTTTCCATTGGAGCTGTATATTCTGCTGCTTGCAGCTTTAGAGGATTCCATTGCGACTGAATGAGAATATGGTTAAGGCCAAAGTAGATGCAGTCTAGCCAAAGTAGATGCAGTCTAAGGATCTAATGCACCTAGGAAGAGATTCTTCCCTGAGAAGAAATTATGGCAACTTCTACATCTTTTGCCAGGATGTTACTGGCTTGGACAGTTTCCCTGTCTGAGCTAATTTCCTTAAAAGTAAGGAAATCAGATAGCCAGGGAGCACCATTGGGGAATTTTTCTTTCCTGGCAATTGCTTAATTAGACACCCTAATATTTTTTCACAGAGCAGTGGGATCTAAAACGATGTCCTACAATCATGTGGGTAAGGTGACTGAAGGTTGACATACAGGCAAACCAACTATTAGTGTCCTTCAGGTATTGAGGAGGAAGATTGTTTTAAGGGTGAGTGGACATGGTTTATCAAGGAGTTGTCCAGAAAGACCTTGGCCAGCGCTAGGATGCATAAGAGGATGCAAGCCAAGCCTTTCATGCCTGCTTCTTTGGGAAATACGGGAGTAAACCAAAGTGCTAAAGCAAAGTGGAATAAAACCTGACAGGGATGATGTAAGGGTGACTTCCAAAGAAAGCTCTTGGTATTGTCCTGCTGACTGCTTGGTCTCCAGATAGATTTACAGTAGACTAGAGCAGTGGTTCTCAAAGCTGGTCTGCCGCTTGTTCAGGGAAAGCCCCTGGCGGGCCGGGCCGGTTTGTTTCCCTGCTGCACCCGCAGGTTCGGCCGATCGCGGCTCCCACTGGCCGCGGTTCACCACTCCAGGCCAATGGGGGCTGCGGGAAGTGGCACGGGCCGAGGGATGTGCTGGCCGCCCTTCCTGCAGCCCCCATTGGCCTGGAGCGGTGAACCGCAGCCAGTGGGAGCCG